GAGGATTCTATTGACATGGCTAAGATAAGGGCATGACTCTAATACCATGTTAGAAATCACAACTCTCCACAATGGTATGATATTGTCCACTTTGAACATAAGCTCTCATAGCTTTGCTTTAGGCTTCTCCAGAAGACCTCATACCAATGAAGATGTATTCCTTACTTATAAATCCATGATCGTTCCCTAAATTAGCCAACGTGGAACTCCCTCCCAACACTTACTTCCTCTCCTTTTTTGTTGATCTCTTTAACGCCCTTTCGATAGAAAATCAGAGCCCCTCGTGGACCACGTAAGGACTTATTTGTGGTTGTTGTCACAATATCAGCATATTCAAAAGGAGATGGATTAACATCTGCCGCAACTAAACCAGCTAGGTGTGCCATGTCTGCCAACATGATTGCCTTATGTTTGTCACAGATCTATCACAATATTCAACCACAATCAAAATCAAATGTTATGTTACAAATGTAAAAATAAAACCCTGATGGAAATATTCTAAAATGTAACCTTTCGAATTCGTGCATAATCATACAAGCGAGAATAGGCTGTTGCACCAGCAACAATGAGTTTTGGTCGAAACAAAGATGCACTTCTATCCATCTGCATATTATTTTTTATTATTTGGATTGCAGTCTCAAGAAAAATCAACATGATAGCGGGGACTCATCCCAACAATATTCAACAATCCTCCTCTCGAACAAAGCACACTATAGAACCTCCCCTGAGGTCTATAGAGCCCTCGAATAGCCTCCTCTTGATCGAGGCTCGACTCCTTTTTTGGAGTCTTCGAACAAAGGGATTTTTGGAGACTTCGAACAAAATACACCCTTTGTTCAACACTTTAATCACTTTTGACTATACCTTCGAGGCTCACAATACTTTGTTTGACATTTGAGGATTCTATTGACATGGCTAAGTTTAATGCATGGATCTGATACCATGTTAGGAATCACAGATCTCCATAATGGTATGATATTGTCCACTTTGAGCATAAGCTCTCGTGGCCTTGCTTTGGGCTTTCCCAAAAGGCCTCATATCAATGGAGATACTATTCCTTGCTTATAAACCCATGATCATTCCCTAAATTAACCAACATGGGACTCCATCCCAACAATCCTCAACATATAATTCGGTCAAACGGGACAAAAGTATTTGCTAACCCCATCATAATCAATGTAACCAGTGCTCTCATCCAACCTATATGGCATTGTCTCGAAGAATACTGAAACAAGTGAAATTTTCTTGGTAGCCGTCTGCAAAAAATTCAAATAAGCTAGCAATGTGAAAACAAAGATTAAATTATAAATTTTGTCCTGCTCTCGTTCAGAGAAAGTTAGAATTTAATCCACATAGAATTTCATCCATATAGTTTAATAAAATTTCATAAATAGTTCATGTTCTTGATGAAAGATCAGTTTCTTGCCTATAAGGAAAATTTTATAATTTTTAAGAATATAGGGACTAAACTATAACTTTTACGTAGCTAAACCAAAAATTAATTCGTACTAGATATGAAAATTAAGCACCTGATAACCATGCGAAAGGTGTCCACCATGTGGTAAATCAAGAGACATTATCCTCTCATGAGGTTTCAATAATGCAGTATATGTCAGAAAATTAGCTATAGATCCAGTGAAAGTCTGCACGTTAACTACAAATAAAAGAACATGCTCAGTTAATTGAATCAGAAAATACTGAGAAAATTCTAAAACAATTTGCAAATGTACAGCTGAATCACAAGAAACTCAAAAGAATTTGAGCATAACTTAGGAGATAAAGACACCAATTAGGTTCACTATCGATTGTAGTACTAAGAAAAGATCGTAATAATAAGATATGAACAATTATGATACCTCCCCATTTTGCAGGGTCCAATCGAAAAGCTTCTAGGGCACGTTCCTTGCACAAATTTTCGATGATGTCAGCGTACCTTTTAGGGTTTATAATTCATTAGAACAAGAATCGAACAAAGAAAATTGTAGTGTAGAATTTGAGATAGATTAATTGACATACTCAATTCCTCCATAGTATCTGGCACCAGGATATCCTTCACTGTATGAATTGGTCATAATTGAACCGACGGCTTCCATTACTGCTCTTGCGCAGAAATTCTCAGAGGGTATAAGCTCAAGACCCTTCAAATTAATAAACGACTTGTACATAGATTAACCTCGAAGCTTAAACTCAACTCAATTCAATCGAGCATTTCAATAACAATAATAATAAACCTGGAACTGACGAGCTTTCTCAAGCTCGATGATTTCCGCCACTTCCGGAGCAACGACCTCGATCGGAAGGTTCAGCGGCTTAATCCACTAAAATCAAAATACCTCTTAATTTATACTTTGTCTCAAACATACCGTTTAATTTTTTAAAAACAAAGAAATTAAAAAATATTAAGATAAAAAATATAAATACTTTATTTCAAAAATATCCTTCTGACTTTCAAAATTTACACCCACCTTTAAATTTAAAATTTAAAATTTTTAAAAAAATCTTAAAGACAAAATAACCATTTTAAAAAATATTCGTGAATTTTGAAGATCAAACCTTAACATTCTTAAATTTTTAGAAAAAAATTAGAATTTTTTTTATAGGTATCTACGTAAATAGACGGTTTTTGTTTATATATTGATGGTAAGAAGGTAAGGTTATTTTTTTTAAATTAAAATTTAATTGTAATGACCTAGATCCACTCCAGCCGATATTATCCTATTTGGGCTTTCCCTTGAGGGTCGACTTTAAAACGCATCTGCTTGGGAAAGGTTTCCACACCCTTATAAACGGTGGCACCCTTGTAAATGGTGATTTGTTCTCCTCCCTAATCAATGTGAAACATCACAATCCACCCCCCTTCGGGACCCAACGTCCTCGCTAGCACTCTTTTCTTCCTCCAATCGATGTGGGACCGCTCCCAAATCTATCCCCTTTTGGGGCCAGCATCCTTACTGGCACACTGCCTCGTGTCTACCCCTTCGGGGAACAGCGAGAAGGCTTTGTTTTCCTCCCCAACCAACATGGGACATCACATTAATAGTATTCTATTGGCCCTCACTCTATTGCTTTTAATTATATATGATTTATTTTGAATATAGTTAATTAATTGATTAATTAATATTAAACTAACAAAAAAATTTAATATTAAACTAAGAAAATTATTAGAATAATTTATTAAAATATTTTCCTAATTTACTTCCTTAAAATTTTATTAAATGAATGTGATTAATTGAGATTATTTTTATATTAAAAATAAATTTAAAAAATGTAACTAATAATACATACATTTTCCAACCCAAAAAATCATTACCTTTTAAAAATATACCGAAATTTCCTCATATAAAATAATAATTAATATTTTAAACTAAAATAAAAATAAAAATATTTATGAGATGAATAAATTAATATCAATAATTTTGGGATAAAATAAATGCATTTTTTTTAAAATTGAAAATCATAGAAATGAAATGCTTACAGTAGCTCGAGCCTCCCTTTCCTCCGCCGTGGAGCCGCCCGCAGAAGACTGCGACCATAGAAAACCAATGGAAAGTTAGGGCATAAGAGAGTAAAATCAGTCATTCTGAATTAACAATGAGGCGAGGAGAGAGAAAAACCGCCGTGTTACGGAGGAGGAACCGCCCGTTCACCGGAGAAACATTGGGTTTCGTAATGCCCACGGCAACTCTTCTTAGAAGCATCGCCATTGGTTTCCGCCGGTGATTGTCTTCTCCGATATGGAATTTTTTTTCTTTTTTTCTTTTACTACAATATTGACTAATTTGAACCATATATATATAGGGCTAATGAGGAGGATAAAGTCGTCTTTTAATATTATTATTATTTTGTTTAAGTTAATAAAAAAATAATTTTAATGGATAGATTTGAGCAATTTTTAAATTACATTTGCTTCTCAAAATTTTAAAAATAAAATAAAATTGGTTAAATTCTATACTTTTATCATTAAAAAGTTATAAAAAATCATATATTTAAAGAATATTATTTTGATCGAAAGATAGAATGATAGTTGACACGTACTTTATATTCGAGATAACTTTTACTTGTTACACGTTATTGTATTATTTATTTTGTATTTAAATAAAAAATATAATGAACGACAAAATTAAATTTGTTAATTTGTACTTTTAATTATGTATTTAATAAATTCATAAATTAAAAAAAAATTGATTTAACTTATTAAATACAAAATTCATTTTTAAAACTTAAATTTAAGTATTCAATTCAGGTTTGTACTAAAAAAAAAGAAATTTATTGCAACCAATTAAAAAATTGAGTTTTAGGCATTATTTTGATTTTATGGTAAAAGAAATTAATTAGGAATATGAGTTGAAAACGAAAATTTTAGACATTATCTTAATTGAAAGATAGCGTCAATACAAGCATATTTTATTGGATAAACTTCAATTATAGACATTTCGAGCATAATTCATTGACAAGACATTAATTACTATTGGATAAACTTCAATTATAGACATTTCGAGCATAATTCATTGACAAGACATTAATTACTATTTCAAAAGTCGATAGTCCAATCTCCCAACATGTCATTAAAGAGGATATATATATATTTTTTATTTATTTATTTTAATTTTTTTTATCACTATTTTTTTTTTACTAAGAAAGTTAAAATTTTATTTCAATAATATTTTTATGCTTTCAAAAAAAATTAAAAAATACTCTACTAAAAAATAATTTTCTTTTATTTCTCTTTTAACTCTTGAGATTCTTCCTCCATAAAAATTAACGAAAATGAACAAAATTAATTTAACATACTTTTATAATATCATTTCATTCCCAACTAATATTTATTTGATTAACGAATATCCGTCTTAGACAAAGTTTGAAGTCATATAACACACCAAGGTTCCCATACAAATATAGATTCTCACAATTTTGTTAATCGAAGTCACAATTTTGTTAATCGAAATTTAGAGACTAAAACAATAGATTAAAAAAAAGTTTTATGCAAAAATAAACTCACCGTTCAAACCAAAATTCTAACTATGCACATAATTGACAATCATTGTCTTAGAGAAGAAAACATAATCACAATCTTACTTGTGAAGTGATTCAAATCTCAATCAGGTGTTCTTAGTTTAAGATATTCGATTGACAAGATTACTTTCGTTACAGTGATTCCTTCCTTCGTTAAGACGTAAACCTATAGATTAACGCTGGCAAAGTTCAAGAACATAATGTCGAGATTTTATTATAGAAAGTCCAACAAAAAATTGCTCACAAGGACATTTATTTAGAGGAAACTTCTGCCCGTTTGCTGGAGGGTCTGAATCAGCAACTTTGACAACAAGGTTATCTGCATAAGCAAAATTATGGATGCTGCTTAATAGAATATCAAAATATCAATCTAACCCAGAATTATCACTCTAAAACTTGAAGAATCAAATCACTAGAAGAGTATTTTTAGTCTTTTTCCAAATCACTTTAATTATCTAAACAGATTTTCAGAAGTGTTCTTCGTACTCTAACGACTCAAGCCCATCGCTAGCAGATATAGTCCTCTTTGGGCTTTCCCTTTCAGGCTTCCTCTCAAGGCTTTAAAACGCGTCTACTAGGGGAAGGTTTTCACACCCTTAATAAAGGGTGTTTTGTTCTCCTCCCCAACCAATGGGGGACATCACAATCCACCCCCTTTGGGGCCCAACGTCCTCGCTAGCACTCGTTCCTTTCTCCGATCGATGTGGGACTGCCCCCAAATTCACCCCCTTTGGGGTCCAGCGTTCTTACTGGCACACCGCCTCGTGTCTATCCCCCTTCGGGGAACAGTGAGAAGACTGACACATCGTCCAATGTCTGGCTCTGATACCACTTGTAACGATTCAGGCCTACCGCTAGCAGATATTGTCTTCTTTGGGCTTTCCCTTTCAGGCTTTCCCTCAAGGCTTTAAAAAGCGTCTACTAGGGGAAGGTTTCCACACCCTTATAAGGGTGATTTGTTCTCCTCCCCAACCAATATGGGACATCACACAGACTAAAACAACTTTTCATCTCAGAAAGATCATCAAGACACCCTAACCTATGTTTCGTTAAAACTTGTTAAGTTATTTATGGTATTCGTTCAACAGGTTATGGATGTTAAGAAATGTTCTAACCCGACTCGGCGGTAGATCCTTGCCTGCAACTTTGAGGATTCGCTTTTCAGTCTCTGTATTTCATTGTCTCTTTCTCAAATCCTATGGTTGGAAATTGCTTGGCATACTGCTCGACTTTAAGTCGGAGCTTTGAAATTTCAGATTGGAAGTCTTTATTTGATTGCATGGTTGCTACGAAATCCTTCAACTTAGTACCTGTATTTACAATATTTAAAAACGAAGATGAGTATATCGAAGGTTCTAAAAGACATTAGTCCGATAAATGGGCAAATACGAGACGAGAGTGGCCAGTATATTTTAAGGTATAGAAGTATTATGTTCAGGAACCTTCGCTATTGGCCTTAATCTTCAAGGCTAACTTCACAGCTTCATCGAAATATTCAGCTACTTTCACAAAATCTGCCTCAAGGAAACCTCTTGAGGTCAGGGCAGGGGTCCCTATGTACACCAGAAGTTCAGAACACAAAATTGGCATCAATTTAGATATTCTACCAGTAATTGAAGGACCAAAGACAATGGTGGAAGGCCATACCCATACGGATGCCACCAGGAACCATGGCAGACACGTCCCCTGGAACTGTATTCTTGTTAGCTGCAATATGAACCGATTCCAAAACCTTCTCGACTCTCGAGCCATCGATACCCTGCCAAATTACCCCCCCCCCCCCCCCNCCCCCCCCAAAAAAAAAAAAACAAATAAAACAATAAGAAAAGGATTGTGCACCAGTGCTGCAAGTCATTTCTAAAGTTTTGTCCAGATCAAGCCAAGGATGACAGTTATATCATAAGTTTGAACAATGGAAATAACTCGGGATGATTTTTGTTAAATAAATTGTCCTTATATTTGTTATCGTCGGCACCCAGCACTACATAAACACAAACACCTGATGAAAGTACATAAACCCATGGATGAGAAGTATAATAGCTCTATTGGCAGACAGGTTGTCATCCTTTACCTTATTTTTCAAATTCACAAGGACTAAATGGTTGTCAGTTCCACCAGATACAAGTTCATAGCCCTTCTCAATCAAACTCTGCATAAACAATTGATTTGACACGGTAAACTACACTGATTTAAGCAAAGAAGAATGTTCAGGAATTAATTACTCCATACAGCGAGCAAAACATGCAATGGAAGAGTACTCTATTGATGATTTGTCAAAGGAGTCAGAAAATTTTCACTGCATACCTGAGCAAATTTGGAAGAATTACTAAGAACCTGCTCTTGGTAAGCTTTGTATTCCGGAGTTGTGGCCTATTGCAATATGGTAAAGAGGAGAAATATCATGAATGGAAACTAGGCGAACATCCAAATATCTAAATCTAGTATCCGAAATAAAATTTCGTGAAGATGGCCCCCAAATTTATTTGTCGAGAAAGACGAGAAAAAATAAACGACCTGCTTTAGTGCAACTGCCAGACCAGTTATGGTGTGGTTGTGTGGGCCACCTTGAAGACCAGGAAAGACAGCCTGATTAATTTTGTCTTCGTAGTCATAGAGCACCTGTCGTAGATTATAATGAAATATTAGACCAGTAAGAACTCGCCCTTGAAATTTACTTACATTTACTTCAAGGTGTAGAAGGAACCTTTCCTTACAGATTTTGTATTCTTTCTTACATTTTTAAGATCTCACTTACTTCTTGTCCTTTTTTGTTGATCTCTTTAACACCCTTCCGGAAGAAAATCATTGCCCCTCGTGGTCCGCGTAAGGATTTATGTGTGGTTGTTGTTACAACATCAGCATAATCAAAAGGGGATGGAATAACGCCAGCTGCAACTAAGCCACTAATGTGTGCCATATCAGCCAACATGACTGCCTTCTGTTTGTCACAGATCTGCAGAAATCAAAATAATCACAACCAAGCCAAACGTTACACAACGTAGAAGTGTAAAATCCTAATGGAAGCTATTTTATAATCTATAGCCAAACAAAGGAAAAACCTGGCGAATTCGTGCATAGTCATAGAGACGGGCATAGGCACTTGCACCAGCAACGATGAGTTTTGGTCGGAACAATGATGCACTTTTTTCCAACTATTAGAATTTTGCTCCATATAAGTTAGTTTATTTGAAATTGCAGTTTCAAGACAAATCAACAGGATATCCCAATAGGCGCAAACACAAGCATTTCGAACCTGGTCATAGTCAATGTAACCAGTGCTCTCATCCAACCTATATGGCACTGTCTCGAAGAATATTGAAACGGCAGAAATCTTCTTGGTATCAGTCTGCAAAAGGTTAAAGAAATAAACATAGGAAAGTATCATATCAAACATCATAAAAAGTACAAGTTACCAAATCATCAAAAGCAGCAATATCAAAACCTAGTAAATTTGAAAATAAACACCTGGTAACCATGCGAAAGGTGTCCACCATGTGGTAAATCTAGAGCCATAATCCTCTCATGAGGTTTTAATAATGCAGTATATGCCTGAAAGTTAGCCGGTGATCCAGAGAGAGACTGCACATTAACTACAAAAAATACCATTCTGAGTTTAATCAAAGACGGTAGGTACTTTGGCAAGTTCTTTCACATAGACCAAACTGAATGGTCTCAGAGTTGGTTAAATAAAAAGAGAAAGCCAAACCAAACCACGAGACTTCAATGGTTTACACTAGAGCAAATATCACCAATATGTCTTCTTTCCAAGTTGAGTCCAAAAGAAAAGGGAGGTGCAGACAATTTTCTGATTAATATATGCAACAGCCATCCTGTGGGTCTTTTATTTTTCATTGGTCACACCATTAGAAGGCAACCCATGTTGAGAAAAGCTTGTTTATAAATACATTTACTGAATCAGAAAATTCTTAAAATGTTTGCACATGTTCAGCTGGATTAACACGAAACTCAGGACAAGACACAGTGAACTGCTATACTTATACAAAGAGAGTCTGAAACAAATTTATCACTTGGAAATTAATCACATATCATTAATTGTCTATCTAAGCATAGAAGCCGAAGGTGCAATCCCCCACCCTGCATAGTAATGCTTCAAAAAAGAATAACAACAATAATATATCAATAGTTCTCATACCTCCCCATTTTGCAGGGTCCAAACGGAAAGCTTCTAGAGCACGTTTCTGGCACAAGGTTTCAGCCATGTCAATGTACCTAAATCCATTTGGCGTTTATAATTAGAAGCCCATAAACAAAAAGAAAAAAGAGAAAATTGAAAACAAAAGGAATTACATACAGAAATTATCGGTGCCATCGCAGTAAGTTACAGATTCTAAGAACTTGCGATGTTTTTGCTAATATTAAGAAAAACTTATGATGGTCTTTCATGTAATTTATACTCTGTTCTTATTTTGTTTCAAAACTCCAATAATTTATTCCAAAAACAAAAGTACTCTGGAATTGAGATAGATCCACATACTCATTTCCACCATAGTATCTGGCACCAGGATATCCTTCACTGTACTTGTTGGTCATGACTGAACCAACTGCTTCCATCACTGATGATGAAGTGAAATTCTCAGAAGGTATAAGTTCAAAACCCTTCACAATCAAAAAAGAATTGTACAAGATTTGATGTTAATCACGAAGCTCAACTCAATTCAATGGATATCAACACCATTAACAACAATTTCAGCCTTAAAAAATGAAGAAGCGAATAGATCAACGTCAAATTTTCAAAAGCACGAAGACCACGAAAACAGCTCAAAAAATACCTTCCATTGACGAGCTTTCTCAAGCTCAATGATGTCTGCAATTTCCGGATCAATAACCTCGAGGGGGGCGTTCAGCTGCTTAATCCACTGCAAGCAAAATTCCTCCAAATATCAACATCGATTCAAGAAACTGACTCATCAAACAGATCTCGTACACTCCATGATCCACATACATTCCTTAGTCCTTACTTAAGTTCTAACTTCAATAAGAAATTTTTGCATCAGAAAAATGTAAATTTCTTTAGATATAAATAAATGAAATGCTCACAGTAGCTCGAGCCTTGTCCCTTTCCTCCGCAGCGGCACCGGACAGAGAAGACTGTGGCCATATAAAACGAATTCATACACAAAAACGAGTAAGAAAATTTCGGCATCAGAAGTTATCAAGAACGACGAATGTAAACACCATAGATATTATGAATTAACAATGGCGGTGAGAATTAAAGAACGAAAAAAAAAACCATGTGATGGAGAAACCGGCCATTGACGAGAGGAACATTGGATTTGGTAACGCCGACGGCGAATCTTCGAAGCGCCATAGCCATTGGTTTCGGTAAGCGATTGAATCTCCTCCGATATCGAAATGCGTGAAAGGTTCCGCGCACTTTCGATCTGGTGCTCTTCCGTTGTCACCACTGCCAGTGGGGTTAGTAGGTTGGTGATGGAGGCCTGATGCCGGTGAATAAATATTAACTAAGCTATTTTTTTAATAATTTTTTTCGAAGTATATGTCTTAATAAATATTTAATAAAAATATTTCTAAATTTTAAATTAAAAAAATGTATTTTAACTATAAAAATTTCATTAATAGCTTATAATTTTTTAAAAATTTTAAAAATATTTATCTAAAAATCTTTAATTACGCGTTTCAAAAATATTTTTAAATTTTTTTTAAAATAATAGAAGAGATGTTATTAAATTTTAAGGATATTTTTATTAATTATTTAAAATATATTTTTAGTTTAAATTTATATTTTGTTTGTTTTAAATTATATGTAATTTATTTTATAAAAAAAAACATTAATATTAATTACTTGGGAAAAAAATTTAAATTTAATAAGATATATAAAAGGAAGTTGATTCCATTAGTTTTTTCGAGATTGATGTTACAGGTTAATTAAATTGGACTACTAGGATCTGCACGGGTTATAAGACGCAAAGGAAAAGAGAAGGATTCGGGTCAAATCTCCAAATGCAACCCTTCAACTTGTCCGATGAAGGTCAACCTTACACGAGGATACGTGTCATGAGACTTGTGGCATCCTAGTTCAACTCAATCTAATTGTAAGAAAAACATAAGAAATCCCGAGCCGTGAATAATTATTTTTAACCTAACAAATATAAACGGTTTGTGAATTCACCCGCCACTAGATCGATAAAAAATCTCTAAAAAAAAAAAAAAAA